GCGCCCACATAGTCGCATGATTGGATTGCGAAGTCTGATCCACCACCACCATCACCCTCTTCTTTCTCGACATCCCACCATTGTCGATCCCATACATATTATTAACACCTCCCTCCATCTTCTGATTCCAACGCCACCCCTCTTCACCTACGCTTCTCCTAAACTCCCCACCCCACCTCCTCGAAGCCGACCGAGACCCCTCCCTTCTACTTATCTGCCTGAGAAACGATTCCGTACTTGGCATTTTCTCGAACACCTCGTCTGCAACAAAACCAGACAGAAATCAGTAAGCTTAAATGTAGTAAACGGGTCATTAACATACGAAAATGGCAGAGAGAAGGAGAAAGACAACACGAAATTGATGGATGGGACTGGGGCTTATGATTTCAATTACTGGTTAAGTTAGGGGGAGCGTGTGTAGAAAAGGAATGCCATAATTTGTATGTGTCTATAAAACAGAGGCTAAGAAGCGTCACGGGAAGAGATGGAAGGGAAACACAATCACTACTGTCTGCGTATGATAATGAAAGGTAAAGGGATTCCCTCGCTTTCTCTGTTTTGAAATATTTTATTTCTCTTTTGAACATTTCTTTTGGATCCTTTCTCCAGAATCTGCAATCTGAAGTGGGTAAAGTACGGTCAGATCAATATCAATATTATTTCTGACGGATTTATGATGCTATTCTCTGCCCACTAGCTTATCTTAGCTTAGCTTCTTTGCAGTGTTTTTTATTTTAAAATAAATTCCTTAAACTTAAAAATTAAATAATATTACCTATCAAGCTACCATTAGAGATGTCCACAAGTAAAGCGGAGCCCTATCCTCATCTTCAGATCTACTTATTTATACCGGGATAAGTCAAATATTCTAAGAGATTGGTAGAGATTAGAGGAGAGAGTATAGATTTCCACACCCTAATGTTTGTTCTTCTTTCCAACTAACATAGGATCTCATTATAGATGGAACTCCACGGGTTAAATAGACATCTCAAGTTATCTATCTTAAAAAAACAAACACTATTTGGATGCATGAGTTGCTCGCATTTTTATACTTTCTACTTTGTCCACATGGTAGAAAACACTCCAAAAAAAAAAAAAAAAAAAAAAATTAAGAAATGAAATAACGAAAGTTTTCTACCCAAAAGACTATAGTTACACGACTACGTATAAAAATTTGATGCATATGAACATTAAAGTAATTATGTTTAATTTTAAAAATATTGTAGGCATGCAAATTTAATTGGTTGTTGTTTTGCCATGAAATTTTACTATAACAATATGATGTCAATGTCAAAGACTTCATTACGGTATACGAAAAAGAAAAAGAAATGCAACCTCCACCTAATTAATAGGAAACAACGTCAAAATCAAAGATGTCTTTTACAGTATACCAAAATAATAATTATAATAATAAATAAATAAATAAAATAAACACTTTTTCTTTTGGTGCCTGAAATATCAATATTATTCTCTCTTTTGGAAAAAATGGGCATAATAGTTTAATATTGCTTATTTTACGGATAGGATCTGATAATTGTTATTATTTAATGTAAATACTTTAATTTATTTTCAGATTCTAACGTTATTATTTATTGTAATGCAAAATGGACCAGATTTGACACGTGGTTGTGTGGGCCTGCGAAATCATTTTGGAGGATAAAATGGTATTTTCAATACAAAATATATTAAATTGAATTAATTATTCGGATCTGTTGGGAAAGACAAAGTTATTGAATTAAGGATCTGGTGGGACACGGTAAATCAAATCTTAAATTAATTTCTAAGATTTTTAAATTTTGTATATTTTTTTATTACTATTTCAAATTATAAATACAATAAAAGTTTTATAAAATTAATTTATAAACTTTCCATTTGAATTTATAAAATTATTCAACATGATTCTTAGCTTTTGTTTTTATATTTAACATATTTCAAAATTTAAAAAAGTAAAAGAAATATAATATTGTTTAAAATATTAAAGGGCCCCAATAAAATGTATTAAAATAGTATATTTAAGCCAAATATTTAATTCTTTACCGGAAGAAAATTCAAATATTTATAAAATTGTTCTATTTTTAGTATCATTTTAAATAGAAAATAAAAGGGAAAAAGTGGGGCCGGGGAGATGAAGTCGGTGGGGCCCTTTTCGCCGATTGGGAATTTCGTGGATCTCAAATCAGGACTCGTACTTCTCGGTTTTCTCCTAATAATTTCTCCCGGGTTGCCCGCTGCCCCCTTGCCCTTGCCCTTCTCTCTTAATTCCACGTCATATTTTTCCACGTTTTATCCATTTTTTCCAGCTAATATATTTACCAATTTAGTTTTTCTTATTATGATAAAAAAAAAATTACGTCGGTTTAATAATTATTTTATTTTTTATTTTCTCATAATAAATTTATATCTATAAAGTTAATTCTTAAAATATTAAAAAAATAGAATAGTTTCAAATTCACCCTTCTTTCATAAATTTTAATTATAAAAGTTATTTATCAGGGAAACTATTGTGAAAATTTAGTTAATTTCTGTAAATTTTTTAAGTTTCACTTAATTTTTGTGTGGTTTTTTAATAAACTAATTACAAATGATCAATAACAATTATAAATTTAAATTGATGTATTAAATTATTAGTTTTAAGTTTTTATATTTAAAACTATTTTTGTAATCTTAAATTTTATACAAATATTAAAACAAACTTGTTAACTCCTTTTAACATTTTTATTTCATTATTTACTGTTAATAGAAAAATATTTGCAAATTGAAATTACATTTTATATATTTTATTTACTATTTTCTATGGTATTTAGCTTATACTAAAAAATATTTTGTACTCTGTTTTAAATTTATTTATAAATTTCATTAATGTTTTTCAAATTAAAAAAAAAATCCATGTAGATAAATAATATTTGAAATTTTATAAAAATAAGAAAAAAAAAAGGGCTTAGTCAGCGTTGAGAGAGAGGGAGGGCAATAATTATAAACCAATATCGTGACGTTAGGTGGGCCGTACAGTGTGTGGGCATGGGGAATTGGTCCCCTAAACATATTTATTTTATTTTATATATTTATTTTTATTTATATTTAATTTTTTAACTTCGCGGTAAAAAGTAAATTGAGAGTAGAGACAAATTAGCGTTCCGCACCGTCTTTTCTGTTTGTATCTGCACGCTTCTGTCCACTGTACTCTCCACTCAAATACATATTCTCTCCCAACTAAATTAATAAATATATTTTAAAACTTTATAATTTGTTTAAATTTAAAATTTTAATAATACTTTTAAATTTTACAAAAAGTTTAATAAGATATTAAAGGTAAAACATATTTGTTTAAAAAACATTTGTAAATTTTTAATATTTTTAAAAATATATATTTTTATTTTTATTTTCTTAATAATATCCTTTAATTTTAAATAAAAAATTTAAAAGTATATTTATTGTAATACAATACGTATAAATCGACCACCTTTTACCTTTATAAAAAAAGAGTTAGAAAAATAGTATTTAATTTGAAAAATTCTATTTTTTATTTTTATTATTTACAAAGTTTAAAAGTAATTTTAAATTTTTTTAATAAATTTTTTAAATGATTTTAAAACTTAAAAATATATTTTTGAAAGTTTAATAGCATTTTCAAACAAAATATTAATTATTTCCTCCCTAAATTAACACTATTTTTTTTAAGCCGAGTACAAAGTTGGATATATTTTTATTAATTTAGCCATTTTTCTATTTTCCTAAAAATAAATAAATTAAAAATAAAATATTCCCGATGATTCCATTTCGCTTCCGATCTCGAAGGTAGTTAGTTGGGCCCAAGTACTGGGCCTTCCCTTTCCAAAAGGGCCGTTTTGGGCCCAAGAAGTTAATGGGCTTTATTTAGTGCTAGTCCATGTATCCTAGCTATCACACAGTTCTATCCGGTCCAGTTTTTTAAAGCCCAAGAAGTTAATAAGGCCCATTTCCATCCAGGAGCCTATTTTTCTGGATAATTAAATGACCAAACAAGCGAGTGACGAGCCCCAAGCAAACAAATGGTTAAAATAAAACCATGTGTTAAATTACAAATCTGTACCTTATTGATTAATCTAAACATCATAATTATACGAATTAGTGACTACATAATATATCGATTACCAATTAAAGTATACTTCCCGTACTTGAAATTTAAATTTAGTTTCTACTTAGTTCATAAATTTTAGAAATTTGAAATAAATTTCTTTAAAATTTATTTTACATACTAATATTTTTATATTTGAATTATCTTATTAGGATTAATTGGTCGTTTCTTTCTTTAGTATAATAAATATGGAATTAATCATTAAAATGTTAGAGCTAAAAAATTTATATTAATGATATTTATAAACTTAGTAGTAACATAAATTTATTTAATTTTTTACCAATATCCTCCCAAGTTAACATTTTATTGACAATGACCTAAAATTGACACGTGGGCTTTTTTTATTCCGCCAACACAGTAGGAAATTTATAATAATGGAGAGGATTGTATGCTTGATTTTGCTGACTCAGCAATTCACCGCTGTCAAACCCACCATCTCTACCACCACCTGCATCTTTAATTCCCAACTAAACATTATTATTATAATATTTGAAAAAGTGATCTTCCACCAATAAACGAGCGCGTTGTCTATACGCGCAATACAAGGAGCGTAAGCTCCACATCATACGAACTTCGATTAAATCAGCTAATTAAAAAAAAAAAAAAAAGGAAATTTTTTTCTCCTCAACGGCGCTTGAATTGAAATCCACCTCGGGCCCACTTAAGATGCCAATGCCACCACCATACCCGCAAAAAGCAAAAAGCAAAAAAGCCGAAATTCCCAAAATATCCTCACAGTAAAAAGTAACCCAAGATTCAAAAAGCCTCAAACGTCGTCGTTTGAAAGCTGCAAAAAAGCGGGAATTTTGAGCTTTAAGGGGCAAAATAGTCCAAAGAAAAAACTCAAAGATCGAGATTCTGGGCTGTCTGTACTGTCTATGCAACATATTTGTCTGCTTGCCTTCACCAAAGCGTTTTCTTTTCCTCTGTTCTCAATCTTTTCTCTCCAAAACCCTTCGAAAAAATCCCTATATTCTTCAAATTTTAGTTGAAATTTTGAACCCAAAAAGCCCTCTCAAGAATCTCTTGCGGTTCTGATGGCAGAACACAAAAGCCTTCATTATCCGAAGTGAAGAACCCCACTTGCCTCAAATTCCATGTTCATCTCTGTCTAATCGTTGAGTAAAGGAAAAAGCTACAAAAAACCCCATCATTTTGATATCTGATTTGAAGAACAGTGCAAAAAAAAACCCAAATTTTCCTCTGCTATACTCTGTTTGTTCTTAGAGGAGATCGACAAAGAACAAAGCTTGCAGAAATGGCAGATCAGGTGCCGGCTACTGCTTGCGGAGCTCTGAATTTGTCTTTGTTTGTTGTTTTAGCCTTGATTTTGGCCAATGTAGCTCTTGTTTGCGCTAAATCAACTATAGAGCCATGCTCGAACTCCGATTCTTGCAATGCCCTGCTCGGTTACACGCTCTACACGGACCTCAAGGTTTCTGAAGTCGCTTCGCTCTTTCAAGTCGACCCCATTTTGATACTCACCGCCAACGCCATAGATGTTTCATACCCAGATGTTGAAAATCATATTCTCCCTTCGCAGTTGTTCGTCAAAATCCCCATTTCTTGTTCATGCGTTGATGGGATTCGTAAATCGGTTTCGACTCGGTACAAGACTCGCCCATCTGACACTCTCTCGTCGATTGCCGATTCCATCTACGCTGGTTTGGTCTCGTCCGACCAGATTCGGGAGGCTAATTCCATTTCGGACCCCTCTGTTCTTGATGTTGGACAGACCCTTGTCGTGCCGCTTCCTTGTACTTGCTTTAATGGGACAGACAATTCGTTGCCTGCTATTTACTTGTCTTACGTTGTTCAATCCGATGATACTTTAGCTGGGATTGCGTTCAGATATTCAACCACTATCACTGACTTGATGGATGTTAATGCCATGGGTAATCCAGCGATCAAAGCTGGGGATATTTTGGCTGTCCCCTTGCCAGGTAAATTTTCTGTCTAATTGGTACATTTATGTGATAATTTTGGGAGTTATCATGAATTTATAAGTAACTAATACATCTCCGTTGGTATAAGGCCTTTTGGGAAATCAAAAGCAGAACTACGAGAGCTTATACTCAAAGTGGACAATATCATACTTTTGTATAGAGTCGTGATTCCTATTATGGTATTAGAGTCGTGCCCTTAACTTAGCCATGTCAATAGAATCCTCAAATGTCGAACAAAGAAGTTGTGAGCTTCAAAGATGTAGTCAAAAGTGGCTCAAGAGGACTCTAGAGAAGGAGTCTAGCCTCGATTAAGGAGAGGCTGTTCGAGGACTCTATAGGCCTCAAGGAAGGTTCTATAGTGTACTTTGTTGGAGGGGAGGATTGTTGGGAGGGAATCCCACGTTGGCTAATTTAGGGAATGATCGTGGGTTTATAAGTAATGAATACATCTCCATTGGTATGAGACCTTCCGGAGAAATCAAAAGTAAAGCCATGAGAGCTTATGCTCAAAGTGGACAATATCATATCATTGTGGAGGTCCATGATTCCTAAGAATTTATGTTGAATGTTCAATGTTTTGTTGGAATCTTTAGTCGATTTGCTGCCAAATTTGGTTGTTAAAGGAAATGAGTTGATGAATGTGCTATGTTTAGTCATAAGGAAGACTCGTTGATTCATAACTATTTGTGTCTGAAGCTGTGGGGATGTTTATTGCTTCTTTTTTACAGCGTGTGCCTCCAAGTTTCCTGGATATGCCTCCGACTTCGGCTTGATCGTGCCGAATGGAAGCTACGCCATTACGGCTAGTCATTGTGTTCAATGTAGCTGTGGACCGGGGAACCTCAAGTAATTGGGCACAGCATTGTTCTTGAATTGGTATGGTTTTCTGATTGTTGATGGTTTTCATTTGCTTAATTGTTTGTTTTGAAACAGTATGTACTGCATGCCTGCGCCCTTCGCCGTTTCTTGTTCGAGTATGCAATGTCGAAACAGCAATCTAATGCTTGGGAACTTCACTGCACAACAGAGTAGTGCAGGTTGCAATGTTACATCTTGTAGCTATGGCGGGTTTGTTAATGGCTCGATATTGACGACGTATGTCTCTTTTCTTCTCATTTGTTTTAAGCGTTTTGATCATGTTGGTTCCATTATTGTTCGTTTTGTCGAAACAGTCGTTTTGATCGATCTTTATTCATATTTCACAGGCTGTCTTCGAGTTTACAGCCTCGATGCCCAGGTAATTGTTCTTTTCGTTTTGGCTTAACCTTCAAGCTCAGAAAGCTTACTTTTAGATTGTTTGGCTTGGTGGGTTTGTCTAAGTGTTAGAAGATTGTGAGTTTTATTGAAAAAGAAAAGTCAAAAGTGGACAATATCTGTTAGCAGTGGGTTTGGGCTGGTATAAAGGGTATCAGAGTGAGGCACCGAGCAGTGTGCTAGTGAGGACGTTGGGCCTCCAAGGGAATGGATTGTGAGATCCATCTTCGTTCCCTATAGGAGTGTGGAAACCTCTCCCTAACTGACATGTTCTAAAAACCTTGAGGAAAATCCCGAAAGGGAAAGCCTAAAGAGGACAATATATGTTACCAGTAGTGTTGGGCTGTTACAAATGGTATCAAAGGTAGGTACCGAGCGGTGTGCCAGCAAGGACGCTGGCCTCCAAGGGGGTGGATTGTGAGATCCCATGTCGGTTGGAGAGGGGAACAAAACATTTTTTTATATGGGTGTGGAAACCTCTCCCCTAGTAGACGCGTTCTAAAAACCTTGAGGGAAACTCTAAAGAGAACAATATTTGCTAGCAGTGGGGTTGGACTGTTTACAAATGGTATAAGAGCCAGACACCGAGCAGTGTGCCAATGAGGACGCTGGGCCTCCAAGGGGGGTGGATTGTGATATCCCACCTCGGTTGGAAAGGAAAACAAAACATTATTTATAAGGGTGTGAAAACCTCTCTCCGTAGACGCGTTCTAAAAACCTTAAATGGAAGTCCAAAAGGGAAAAGTCAAAGAGGACAATATATTTAGCGTCAATGCAGGTTAAATGCAAACTATATTTTGCTTTTTCAGGGCCACAGCAATTTCCCCCAGTTAAAGCCCCACCTACCACAGTAACCAGAGATTCAAATTTTCCTCCTGCTCCAGCTCCTCAATTTGATGGCTCACCTGCACCGGGGTCGGGATCGGGATCGGGATCGATCCCTTCAACAACTAGTTCTCTCCCTGGACTCCCACCAGCCAGTGGCCCCGTTGGCAGTTCTTCTGGATTGAACCCGGCTCCGTCCTCTGCCTCCTCGTTGATGAATCCATTTGCTAGTATTTCTGCTGCCGTTCTGTTATTTATCATCGTCTAACTTCTTAGCGTCATTTTCATTATAATTTTTTTCATGGCGGGGCGACTTCACGGTCGGCTTTGTATTGTCTGTGGTTTATATGTTTCGAGATTTTTCTCGTGTATGCTGGCTGTATTTAACCGTTATTGTTCTTCGTCGTATGAGTTCACCTGTAGGTTTTTTGAGACCTTTTCTTGTAATTTGTTCTCTTTTCTATCTTAGAAGACTGCAATATTAGGTGATATTGATTCATTTGCTACTTAGATCCCACATCAGTTGGAGAGAGAAATGAGTGCCAGCAAAGATGCTGGATTCGAAGGGGTGGATTGTGAGATTCCACATTTGGTGGAGAGGGAAATAGACGCTGGATCCCGAAGTAGGGTGGATTGTGAGTTTCCACATTGGTTGGAGAGGGGAACGAAACATTCTTTATAAGTTTGTGTAAACCTTTCCTAGTAGATACTTTTAAAAACCTTGGGAGGAAGTCCGAAAAGGCTCAAAGAGAACAATATCTGCTAATGGTGAGCTTGTGCTGTGACAGTTTCCAATAACCGAGGTGAATACATTGTGGGAATTAATGATACAACCTCAAGATCATGAATAACCAACATAGGTGTTGCATGCTGCCGAAAATTGACAAACCTCATGCAGCTCCGATTGCTAAGCACGCCGACCCTTGCTCCTCATCGGTCGAAGGGAAGCTTCAAGTCGAGACCCTCGAAATGAATATCAAATCAGGTATGTGCAGTTTACTGTTGTGTGGGAAGGCAGCTCAAAGCAGAGGTCAAGACCAACACCTGCTGATTGTTTCACTGGGAGGTTTGTCTGTGAAGTAAAAACTGGCTTCAGCACATCAAAAGCATCCTCTATTAATCATATATTAGACATTTATAATTTTTTTAGTTTCATATAATTATATCATATATTATACATGAAAAAAAAATATCGGAAATTAAAAAAAAAAAAAAAAAAAAAAACTTTATTTTCTTTAATTGCTCTTTAAGATGAACTTCATATAAAGGCCTATGGGGCCGCCAAACAAAAAATAATTGAGCCGACAGTTCGGCCCAATTTGTAAACATTGGGCCCATATTCTATAATGGGCCGTTTTCTCAGTGGGCTGTTTGTACAGTTTATGGCCCAATTCCCATTTACAGTCTGGGAAATCGCACGGCTGAAACATACATCGTCGACTACTCCACACCTGAAAATCCGAAGGTTTGTTTGTTGCAGAAACACACCACGCCGTCGACTGCTTCAACCCAGCCGTTGCCGTTACCGTTGCCGGTGCCGTTTTCATCGTCGATTGCTGCGACCCTTGCCGTTGAGGAAGACCAATCAGATTGCAAGCTTGGCGTCTCCTTCTGTCCACGGCGCCGAAAGGTAAGTTTCTTCCCTTTTTATTTGTTTATTTATGATGGTGGGTAGAACGGGGCGTCTGTGGGTCAATCTGTAACATTTTTGGCCCATTTTCCGTCGAAGTCTATTAGAATTAGAACTGGGCGTCTTCTCTCCGTTGCCAATTCAGAAACAGCCATGGCCTCTGCTCCTTCCAAGCTCTATGCAGGTTCTTCTTCAATTCCTCTCTCCTTTCATATGGATTCTCAGGTACGAGTATCAGAGTTTCAGGGGCTTATTCTTTTTTGTGATCTTTTGATTGTGTTGCTGCAGATGATGTTAGCCTGTTAGTGGTTTTACTGGATACAAATCCATTTTTCTGGAGCACATATTCTCTCCCATTCTCCAAGTTCCTCTCTCATGTACTTGATTATTTCTCTCTCTACTTATGGATCATTCTATCAAATTGGTATTTCAGGTAGAAATGTAATGAACACTGGTAATTTTCTGTTTTGGGTATCTAGGTACTTGCTTTTCTGAACTCCATTTTAGTTCTGAATCAACTTAATGAGGTTGTGGTCATTGGTACCGGATATGCTTCATGCAAGTATCTATACAACTCGTCTTCTTACTCAAATCGTAGCCTTGAAGATGGTAGAATGCCTGCACTTTGCACTCGTTTATTGAATAATTTGGAGGAATTCATGATTGGGGATGAGCAGTCAATCAAGGAAGACCCCAGAGAAGGGACCATGTCTTCACTTCTTTCTGGATCGCTATCCATGGCTTTGTGTTGTATCCTTGTTGATGATTTTTGGTGCTGATTATTTGCTTATTTATGCTGATAGCTTCTTGTTGTCTACGCAAAAGTTAAACTTTGTCATGTTCTAGAATTAGAATGTTTCAATGGACCATCAAGATTTAGCAGTTAGGACCAAACAATATTTATGGAGATTGGAGTAGCTTATGGAAGTTATATTTCATTTGTACATTTGATTGATGTTTGTGGTAATGAGTAACAACAGCAAAATGCTGTCGAAGTTATGGCTAACACGATGGAATTTGCTGATTGCCACACTTGTTAAATGCAACTTGAGTACTCTAATTTCACGAACATATTATTTGTCCCGAAATGCTTGACCTTGTGAGAGTAGATTTACAGAAAGTTTTCCGATCTGGATCTCTCCATCCCCATCCTCGGGTACGCACTAGTTTCTGTTCTGCATCTCTTTATTGCCAATTTTCATTTCTGTTTGTGCTTTGCATTCTTCATTTCTTTTGTTTGTTGCTTACTTGTACCATCTGTTCCACAGTAATTTCATTAATCAGCTTCAATTTTTTTGTGAAAACGCAACTCATCTATGTGAATGTGTTTACTTTTCGTGTAGATCCTTTGCTTGCAGGGATCCCCAGATGGACCTGAACAGTAAGATTTTTCTCATCTTTTGTATTGAATTTATTTATTTATGTAATGTTCTTTAACAATGGGAAACAAACTGTAAAATCTTTCTTCCGGTAACTGTTTTCTCTTCCAGATATGTTGCAATCATGAATTCCATCTTTTCTGCTCAGCGTTCAATGGTTGGTATTTTTTGTTTTTCTTCTGTGTGTTCTTATATGACTTCATTTACTTCTATCAATCACTAACTCTCTTAAATTGAACAGGTTAATTATCAGTTAGTAATGAAAAATGCAACCCCAAATATCTAATGGAAATGCTTGATATAAATTTCTCCTCTATATAACTTGTTCTTTGTTTCGTCTTCATGCTAGAGAGTGGCGCTGGACTAAACTTTTCTGTAGTTTCTTCCCTTCTAATTTTTGGAAAAAATTTCTAGACATCCCATAGGTGAATTTGAGATTAAGTGCATTGAAGAGACTACAGGAATTTATATTGACCTACTTTCTTGGAGTCTAAAACTAAATATCTAGTCTCCACGGTTTGAATTGAAGTCCAATTGTGAGATCCCACATCGGTTGGAGATGGGAACGAAACATTTATTATAAAGGTGTGAAAATCTCTTCTTAACAGACGCGTTTTAAAAACCTTGAGGAGAAGCCCGTAAGGGAAAGCCCAAAGAGGCCAATATCTGCTAGTGGTGGGCTTAGACTGTTACAAATGATATCAAAGCCAGACACCAGGCGATGTGCTAGCGAGGATGCTGGGCCCAAGGGGTGGATTGTGAGATCCCACATCAGTTGGAGAGGGGAACGCATCATTCCTTATAAAGGTGTGAAAACCTCCCCCTAACAGATGCATTTTAAAACCGTGAGGCTGACGACGATACGTAACATGCCAAATCTGCTAGCTGTAGGCTTGAGCTGTTACCCCAATATTATAGAAAAGATTTTTTTTTTATATGCTTGTCCTATGGTAGAATTTGTTGAACATCTTGCATCTTTTCTACTACCGATGTTGTCAATTGTGAAAATCAAAATAAATATTTGTATGCATGTAAGTACATGTATATAAAATAACAAACAAAAATATATCCTACAAAGAGGACATGGGGAGAGAGGGAGTTTCCCTGAAGGAACAGATTATGGGATAGAAGTTACCAAGAAAAACACCAGTCCAAGCTGTTAATGAAGTATAGAAGTAGCGAAACCCTTGCGTTAGGTACTCCAAATAAAGTCTGTAACTGAAAAAATCATTAAAGAAATGTATTTTCAAATTGGAAAAAGTATAAATAGAGATGCACTATCGAATTAATCGCTTCATCAACATATATCAAGTTTGAAGATGAAGAATGTTTAGGATCTTTGAATTGTTAGTTTTCTCTTGGCTATGACAGCTTAACATAATATGACAATGCTCATGTATAAGTATCCTATCATGTATCATTTTTCATTCCTGCTTCAGGTTCCTATAGATTCATGTTACATTGGTTCGCACAATTCTGCATTTCTTCAGCAGGTAAGCTAACTGTACGTGATTCTTAATGGGTCATTTATTTCCCACCCAGAATCTTACCATCTCAGGCTGTATCCTCTTTTCATTTGCTGGTGGTGATTTGATTTCTGATGCTGGATAGGCTTCTTACATTACTGGTGGCGTTTATCTGAAGCCTCAGCAAATGGATGGGCTATTTCAGTATCTCTCTGTGGGTTATACTTCCCTGTTGCTTTCTCTTTCTACCTCCAAGTTCAAAGTGTTTGTTTACTTTTTCGCATTGTTTTAGGATTTTAAAGTTACAATTTAGTCGAGTCGATGAGTTCGTACTGAAAATTGTGAATGATTGTGGACCAGGAGGCTCTCTATTTTTTATAATCTCTTGCTTACTTCGATGTGATATCGTATTGTTCTTTTTCTACAGACTGTGTTTGCTACCGATTTGCATTCCCGGACGTTCTTACAGCTTCCGAAGTCTGTCGGTGTGGATTTTCGTGCATCGTAAGTTCAGTGTCTTGTGACTTACACAGTGCTGTGTTTTTGTGCTTATTATTTTGCCCTTCTCACTGTGGCCTTTACCGTTTTACACCTCTCATCGTCATTTTTTCGTTTCTGTATCCAACAGAGAAGGTAATTGCTAGTGCCTAATTAATTGGGAATTTGCAGGTGTTTTTGCCACAAAAAAACAATTGATATGGGCTTTGTCTGTTCTGTTTGTTTATCTATATTCTGCAAGCATCACAAGAAATGCTCTACCTGTGGGTAAGTGAAATGTCAAACCTTAATTATTATGTTTTTTCTTTTCCTTTTACATGTGGTATCATTAAATTTATTGAAGTCGGTTTGGCTTTCGAGCATTCTGTCTGTTGGGATCTATGTGTGAAAAGGAAGAGGAAGAGTAAGCTGATTTTTGAGAACTCATTATGCTAGGATTTCTTTTTCTTGGTCCATTAATATTTACACTTAAGAAAAATTTGGAAGAGTATTTCAGTATCTGATATCAAAGGTCATCAGTGTAACGGCCCAAGTCCACCGCTAGCAAATATTTTTTCTTTTGAGCTTCCACTCAAGATTTTTAAAATGCGTCTACTAAGGAGAAGTTTCCACACCTTTGTAAAAAATGATTTGTTCTCCTCCCAAACCGATGTGAGATCTCACATTTAGTTTCTTGCCGTCATTGTTTGAACTCCTGGATTGGAATTTTGGGTAGTAAGAAATTATAATTTCTTTATATTGGGATGGAAATTACAACATAATTATAAGGAATCATGACACTTCCTAAAGGTTCGAAGAACAACTTTTGACATTGTAAGCTTATTATTGGTCGGTAGACATTTCAGACGTGCGTCTGCCTATAATATGTGTATCTACTTCAAAACAAGCCTGTGCCTATTATTGATGAGTTTTGATTCATTCAGGTCAGTTTTTGGTGAGACCCCAGTAGCGGTCGATTCAGTGTCGAAACTGAAGAGAAAAACTCCAGAAACATGATTTAACTCTGCTGTAAGTTGCGATAGATCATTTCTTTGAACCATGTTTTCTCCTCACTTTTATGGCTGTGGAACTGTTACCATTTTTCTTTCTTCCCTTTCTTGAGCTGTTTGGAATTGGATTTCTTGAGCTGTTTGGAATTGGAATTGTTTTTTGCTGATAACTGAATTAGTCTAAATGATGGAATTTGGTTCATCTGGTTTGAGCAGGAGATGACTCTGATCTGAAAGAGGTCTGGACATTGTACGATTCAGATCGTTAGTTCGAACATTCTGAGCCAGTAGTTGGATCATGCGACGTGGAACGATAGCAAGCTAGGTCATGCATCTGTATTCATCTTTTCCAGGGCTCACAAATCTGGCAACAAGGTTTCTATGGAACTTGAGAGACTTCAACTGGAAAAGTTAGTCTGATGCACTTGCACTGAAAGCTTGAAAGGCTTAGAAGTAAATGTAAATTTATATTTTTTGCTAATAGTACGACAATTTCGAACTGTGATGCAACAAATTCACTAATTCAAATTTCGAACTTCGTAAAACTTTTTACAACACGATGCAGAACTGGGAACGAAGCTACTGTACAAGCTTTACAATGCCATATGAACCAATAACCAAAAGAAAAAATAAACAACTATGCCATTAGAAATGAGCACAGTTATTTAAATCACTTGATGAATAATGAAAAGGGAAATGAACCCCAAACAACATCATACGTTTGTTGAATATCAGTAGCTTCTTCAGAGCACCTTCATCACCACTTTGCTTGTATGGTGGACACCGGTGGCAGCCAGTTTCAATATAGCCCGACCCTTGTACAAGCTGCAATATGCAAAACCTGGGTAAAGTTTTAGGAAACCAATCCCCAAGCAATAACTAATAGCTTGCTTGACGAGTAGACAATTCATCAAACAATCCGACATTTGAACAAATAAAACTAATTTGAAAGAAAAGATGATACAAAGAAACAGAAACGTGTCAAACGCATCGGTGGAGAATTCCTCATGCCTTTGGGATGAAATTGAAGTGGGGTAACAAAACTAAGGAGCTTGGAAGTGAATAATCCCGGGTCACCAGATTTACCCATTCAAGAATCAATGAATGAAATCTATGTGATGTGGGCTCCTAGATTGGGAAGCTCTAGTTTTTTTGACAAGAGCTTGCACAATGAACTTAAGATTCAAGCATGCTGAGATTTATCCTTGTAATTCAACAATCACAAGCTTAAGAGTTTCAAAAAGTAAATCCTCCTATCAGGTATGCTGTTTCGTATTCGAGAAAAAATAAAATGGCAATCATTTTCAACACGATAAATAAATCAACTAAAACTGACCCAGCCAGTGCAAGTCCCCAGGTGGCCAAGGAATAAAACAGCAACCCAGCATGCCAAATTTCAAACATCTTCTCCATTATGCCGCCCATACTATCCAATGCCTTTGCTATTGCTGCAAATAGATGTAAAATAGCACAAAATGTTAATTCAACAATTGCTATCGCCGAGTGTAACCCCATAGTCCAGAAGTTAAATTAACAAAAGGAAAGACATACTTTTCTGCAGCTCCTCAGGTGATACATTCTGCATTTTGGAAAACTTGAATATTTAAGATTCGTTATAGAAATCCAGGAAGAAATTCCATTCGAAGTGATAGGCATACCCGAGTTTTTGGGTTTGACATTATACATCTAGCCATAAAGTGGGCAACTGCATCCACCACATGTTCCTCAGATACAATCACATAACTTTCATCATCAATTCCACTCCATTCCTCAACTTTGCTCGGAACCATATCTTCAGTAACCCATACCCACCAACTGGGTGCTTCACGGCTAACATTCACAAGAATGTCAGCTGTGTGTGAATCAGCTTCTAATCAAAGAACCAAACATGGGAGAGTAAATTCATCAAGCAATCAATATGAAAACGAGACTTCAGTACCAACTAATGGATTATGCTTGGTTCGATAAAGGAAAAAAGAAAAAACCTGTAGCTTCCCTGAAAGGAAATTCATAGGTGATTCCATCTTTTGATGCTTCGTTGAGGGATTTTATTTCATTCAAGAACTTTTCAGAATCCACTGTCGCAACGAGACGAGCATACAGCTGGAAATTTACAAGTTCCAAATATAACTTGAGTTAATCGCAGGAGTTATGATAGAAAAAAACTTCAATAATTGAAAGGAATCAAATACCAAACTATGATAATTATGTATCCCAGCTCAGGAAAGGAAACCACATGTCTTCAAATCTCAAACAAAAACTTTTCAGCATAACTAAACTAGGGCCGGAAAGATTCATAATTATTTGAAAACACTGTTTCATCGGCATTAAACAAGTGATGATTTAGAAAGGGAAAATAAATCGTTTCAACCATAAAATTGGAAACAGCACGAAATTACAATACCAGGAAAGCTTAGAAAATAAACCAAAAGCAGGCAAAAGCTTGAAAAAGAGGGCAAATGGAGGAAATACATCGGGAGGGCAATCATTCAACAGACAGTGCGATTCAGATAACTTCTGAAGGAGGTTGAGATTTTGTTCGAGCAACTTCCTCAATCTCCGATTCTCCGATCGCAGAGCGTCGAGGTTTTCTTCCTCTGTAGGAGTGCGCTTGGTGGCATCATCGCCGGGTTTATGGTGATTGTAACACTCAATCGCTGTCCAGGCCACGTCTGCAACCTCCATGGCCGTCTTGGCTACCTCCAGAGCACCATGGCCGCCTTTCATCCGGACAAACCTTCCGTCGCGATCACCCTGCTTCAATAATGGCGTCGATTTGATGCCGGAGCCCTCCCTTATGGAACTAGGAAGGATAACGAGTCCCAAAATTGGAAAATATATATAAATAAATATTTAGAAATTGGGCAAAATAGACTTTTCAGTTCGGTATTAATATTTATTAAAATCTCCGAAGTTTAAAAATCGAAGAATTTAATCCGAAAATCTGAAGTTTTAATTTATATTATTTGTTGGTGATTTGGACTGTGACATGGCAAATGAGGTGGCATCTTCTTACTAATTTAATTTAAGGGTAAATTTAAGTTTTTATTAAAAAATTATATTATTAATTTTCAAATATAAATATAGTATAGATCATTTAATCTTCACACAGCTTGGAAATATTAAAATTTTAATATTTTAATATTTTTTTTAAACTAAGGTGTACAATGACACGACCATAGTCATGGGGCCGAATATTTTAGGGACTAAAATAGTAAAAAATAGTGAACTTATTGGTTTTGAAAAAGTGCTAATTTTCAAAAGCGATCAACTGACGGTGACGGCGTCAATATTGTTTACGTAAATAGCCCATCAAATTCTCATCATCCCTAAAATGACCGACCCGGTCCAATCGGTTCAATTTGTCTACCAGACCGGAAAATGACGTGGCTTCTGGGTTCTTTTTTCATTTCAAACGGACGGCGGAGATCGAGATCGATATTTCATGAGATCTTCAGTCTGTACGAGCACCCACACAGTAACAAAATCTCCCCCTCTTTTTTCTGTCAAGCAGAGTCATTCTTGGAAAGTCCTAACACACTTTCAGAGCCCATAATTTCTTCCTTCGCACAGAGAATCGGTGCGAGTCGCAGAAGAGCAAAATGGCGGAGGAATTACAGGACACCGATGCTCCGAACGAGGAGGCCATGGATGTAGATGTTGGTATAGAGACGAAGATTCAGAACGCGATGCTCTCTCGCGTCTCTCACTTCAAGGAACAAGCCGAGTGAGCTTCCTTTCTATTTCACTTTTTCTCATTTTCCGTGAGCGTACTCATCTGTGGGGACTTGTGAAGCATGTTTTGTAGTTTGTGTTTTCTGCGAGGAGTTTCTCTTTTTTCTCTGTGATTTTTGGTGTTTTTGTTTCAATTGCTATTATTGATGCTGTAGTGTTTATCCTGCACCTGCGAAAATGCTTATTAGACCACCTCTAGATGAATTTTTCTTCATATTTATTTCTATCTCGGTATTATGTTCCTCGTTTAGTTTAATTATGTGTACGTATGTTTTGGGAGCTCTGTAAGTTTTAGACCCTATACCGTCAGCTGAGTTTCATGTCTCTATGTTCTCGGTGGTTCTAGGGTTTCTTTTGGGCATTGTAATCTATAAAAGAGAGGAGAATTTTGTATCTATTCCATTCCTCTCGGTATGGTTTAATGTTTGGGCGGTTGTAAAAGCGGCTTTCATTGTTCGATATCAAATTGTAGGTTCGTGTCTAAACATAAGACAAGAATAACGTTAACGTCACTTTCCTTCATGTAGATGCACGTGTGTAGCAATAAGACCTTTTCATTTGTTTGTAATTGTTAAGTTTTGAATTGACGCAATTATATTGTTCCATTACATTTTCTTTGTCTTTCACGGCCACTAGGGAAAAATTATTGGATGAAAGTGCCACAAGGTGATTGTCTTTTACTTTCCATTAGATGTAGATCAAAAAGTTTTCAGGCCCTCTAATAATCATTGGTACCGAATTCAAGATACTTTTTCTGTTATCTCTCATACATCCGACGGTGCTTAACTAGTAGCCATAGTGTTGCCTTCCCAAATAATTTCTCATCACTGGGAGTTGGTTTGGAAACCAATTTCATACCAGTTGCTGAATTTGTTTTCATAACTAATTTTAGTAACCATGGATGTGCGCTTGCAAAAATCAAGTTTTTTTCTAGAATATTTCATCGTGAATGCAGGGGAGGTATTTGAATTACCAATCAGCTATACTTGACAAGAACAATAGAGTTATTGTCTCTCACGTCACTTTTCACGACCCCATAGATCGAAAGAAGAATAAGTTCAACTGTTTATTAAAGCCATCAATTACGCAAAATCAGGCCATCTAAGAAAACAAGGGAACAATGGTTTTTAAAATCAGTTACTATATATAATTTCACTATTTTTTTTTTTTTCTCACTAGCATAAAGCAGATTTGAGATGTCTCCCAAACAAGAATTGGTACTTTTTGTTTCTTTGCGCATTTGCTTATTTTGTGACCTTGACAAATATTTTTATGTCATAGATCTATAACCAGCAGGAATTTGAACATCTGGTATAGTGCAATTGTCTTGAGTGCAGTTGTGTAGAATCATCAACATTGTGAGCGGATTTGAATGAACTTTTTTAATATAACTTCAGAAGATGGCGTGTCTTTATTTCTAAGATAAGACACAAGGATGTTACTCTGCATTCTGCATTTGAAAACTTCCGTACGTTCCTTTCAACTTATAAGAGGCGTTGGTACCAAGCACAATGGCGGGACATTATTATGGGCTAAAGATACCTGTCTTTGTAGTAAAATCTCACGACATTATTAAACACCACTGTTGGATGATGAAAGTCCCATATCGGCTAATTTAGGGAATGATCATATGTTTATAATCAAGGAATACTATCTCTATTGGTATGAGGCCTTTTGGGGAAGCCCAAAGCAAAGCCACGAGAGTTTATGCTCAAAGTGGACAATATCATACCATTGTGAAGAGTCGTATTCGTCTAACATGGTATTAGAGCCATGCCCTTAAACTTAGTCGTGCCAATAGATTGGTAAATCCTCAAATATCGAACAAAGGACTTCAAAAGAAAAGGAGTCAAGCCTCCTCGAAGGCAGTCAAAAATGACAAAGACTCCATAGGAGTCGAGCCTCGATTAAAGGGAGGCATACTTTGTTCGAGGGGAGGTATTGGATGATGAAAGTCCCACATCGGCTAATTTAGGGAATGATCCTGCGTTTATAATCAAGGAATACTATTTCCATTGGTATGAGGCCTTTTGGGGAAGCCCAAAGCAAAGCCATGAGAGCTTATGCTCAAAGTGGACAATATCATACCATTGTGGAGAGTCGTGTTCGTCTAACAACCACTATTTAGAGGCTGGTTAAAAAGTTTGGATAACGTGTTGGAATCAGTATAACCTTACTGGCGGCAGCATAAGTGGAAGTTTTTACTCATTATAAGTTTTTTCAGTACAAGAAATTTGATTTATTACTTTATTAATTTATAATCCTTATTTATAAGAATAGTTAAAACCTTGATGCCTTATCCAATTTTCTATTTATCTGTTTGTTTTTCGTCACAGCTCTTTAACTTTTGAGGGGGTTAGAAGATTGTTAGAAAATGACTTGTGTATGGAGACGTACGCTTTAGATGTGCATAAAAGATATATCAAGCAGTGTTTGGTGAAGGTAATGTTTTCTTCTTTCTCTGTTTGTGACATCTTGCTTTTCTTGAAGGTGGCATCCTATTTCTGTTATGCCTTATGCTCAATGTTATAATGTTCAGTAAGTTTTATCTTTGATATTTATGGTGACATTTACTAAGTTCTATTATTGTAACGAATGATGACAATTGAAAGAGTAGAAGGGTCTTATGGAAAAAGTGGCTTTATTTTTTCTTTTATTATCAAACTGTTTCACAAGAAGCTCAACTCGAGTTGCCAAAGATCTATAATGAGAATATGGACCTAAGAAATATGCTCTTGTAGGTTTATTGATGCTTGATAGAGCATTAGGACAATCCCTCCCTCCCCAATAGAAAAACTATATATACACATCACGGCATTGACTTGTTAATCCAGACTAATCCCATAAACCATAGAAGGAACCTTTATCTTTTAGGCATGAATATTGGATCACCTTCATCAAGTTAGTTCATTCATCTGCTTCTTGATCATTCAAACTCTTTGTGAGTACTCTCCTTGATTAAAACTTTAAACATTTGAACATGACATCTTATCCAAGTCTTGTCACTAGCGTTAAATAGTCAACATGTGAATCTTCTAAATAAGTTGTAATTGAGTAAGTTTACTGAACTTGCTTGGGATTTCTTATTGTTTTCATGTATGTGAATCTGAATGTAGAACAGTTGATGTGTGGCATCCAGCTCAAGTTTACACTTATCTTTCGGGTAGTGGCTACAAAAGCCATACTTGGAAATATGTGGAATGGCGAATTTCTAGAATTTTGGAGTGAGGAGGGACATTGGGTGTGGTTTGGGACATTACTCATTTTTTTGGCCTTTGCTTGACGTACTCTCTCTGCTCTATCTTGTTCTGCAATTATAGTCCTATCGACTGACACATGAACTCAGGTCTCTCTTTGTAATATATACTTTCAATGAATTTCACTTCTTATTGAAGAAATATGTTCATAATTGAAAATAGTATGTTCCAAGTACTTTCTGTGGTGTCTTTTGGGATTCAGAGTTTTTAATTTCTTCAATACAATGTTATTATCCTTGAATTGAGTTTTTTTATATTATTTGTTTCTGTATCTTAGTGCTTAGAAGGTGTGGAGGAAGACAATGCCTCAAAGTCTTCTGAGGAGACTGGGGGGAAAAGTGTGAGTAGAGGAGAAGCTGCTGAGTCACTTGAAGGGCATCAGTCCAAGAAAGGTGCAAAGGAACCTTGCTTGGAAGATGAGGAGAAAATGGAAGACTCTCCAGTTATGGGCCTTCTCGCAGGACATAAAACAAAAAATGCTGAATCTGACAAAGTCAAAGGAATCAAAGACAAAGATGACAAAGATATTCCTACTGAGAGTACAATTAAGAAAGCTATTAGAAAAAGAACTCCTTATCTTAAAGCTAATTCGGAGTAAGTTCTTCTTATTATTATTTTAATTATTGATATCTTAATGATATGGATTTTCCATAGTTTATGTTATATAAATCCATGTCCCTTTTCCTGTATTTTGATCCCTGTTGCTTTGTTGAAGTCCAAAATTGATCTGGAAGAACATCATAATGAAACCATAAAAATTTTCTTTTTAAAATTCATAATTCATTGTTTTACCTCTCGCTCACAACTAACATTGTGGAATTGAAACCGGATTTAGCTCCAACTGAGTAATTGTTTCAAGAATGGGTACTAGAGTTGCTAATCAAGTACTTCTCGTAAAGTCATAATTTTGAAAAAAAGTATGATATACTAATTTTCATATTCATTTCTTTCTTAGAAATCTTGCTTTACAGCTTATAAAATAATTGGGAGAAAAAAATGACTATTAGTCCTGGCAGTGAGCTTTTACAACATTTGCACAAGAATTGAACTGTGGCCATGATTTGAACACTCACCATCTTTTAACGACTAATTGATTTCAAATATTCATCTTGTATGCACTTAACTTCTTGAGTCTTATAAGTCATTTATTGCCACGAAGCATTTGTACAGAAAGGGGGTGGGATAGAGAGAGGAAAGAGGGTGGGAGCAGGGACAGATCTTCTTCTCAATTGGGAGTTTCCTTCCCCATAACCTCATGAATCATTCTTGATTTCTGGTGGGACTACCCACCAACAAAATGATTCTTGTATCTAGCTGCACAACTAGCGTAGGAAAGGGAGGAAATGTTTCTCAATCCTTTGTTCTTATTCTGATCTGGAACATAGGACCTTGGATTATTACTGTCTAATTTGTTTTCATGTTATTTGCATAGATGATCTCCTCGTCCTCCTGTCCCCTGAATTGAAAATAAATAAATAATAAAAACAATGTGCTTATGCAGGAAAGTTACTATGGCTGGAGTTCGCCGCCTTCTTGAGGATGACCTTAAACTTACTAAATATGCTCTCGATGGTTGTAAGAAGTTTATAAGCCAACAAGTAGAGGAGGTTAGTCAATCCTGCTGAGTTTCCATTTTTCTAGGTTATAATGTCAAGCATACTGATAATTTTCTCTTATGAATATTAAAATCAGATATTGAATTCTTGTGAAGCTGCTGAGCAAGTTTCTAATGAAAAGAAGGGTTCTCGTTTGAAAACTCCCAAAAAGGTAAGCAAAGAAAGCTCTCATTCTACAGAAGGGGGGAGCAGCAGTGAGGAGGAAAGCGATGAAGTAAAGCCTGTAAAGAAAAATGTAACTAAAGGAATAATATCAAACTCTAATGAAATGAAAAAGCGGAAAAGATCTACTAAGGAGATTGTTTCTGCCAAGAAGCAAAGAAAGCATGTCCTGCACACATTGGAGGAGGATAGTGATGAAGATGGTGGTGAAAATGTCTCTGAAGATGGCCATTCTGAATCATCCAATGAAAAACCTGTGAAGGTTAGATTTATTTTTCACCTCCCTTATCTGATGGTTAATAAATTGACTTTGGGTGATTTTTTCAAACCTCACAGAAAGAAGTTTCAACTCCTGTCTATGGCAAGCGTGTGGAGCACTTGAAATCGGTTATCAAATCATGTGGGATGAGGTTTTGTTTCTAGTCCTTACCGTTTGTGTGCTTAACTTCTGAGTTGACCTGCAAAGAATAAAGATCAATAATCTCTCTTACAGTGTTCCTCCATCAATTTATAAGAAAGTAAAGCAGGCACCTGAAAGCAAACGTGAATCACAACTTATAAAAGAGTTGGAGGGGATACTATCCAGAGAAGGATTGTCTGTTAATCCCACTGAAAAAGGTAAACCAAAGGAAATCTCTGATGGTGGGCGGGTGGGGGGAACTTGATTTTAATCTAACCTCTTCGACTTGGGTTCCTCTGTGTAATTTTGCTTGTTGAATGAAATTAGTTTCATATGAGAAAAAAGACATAGACAATAAGTTAAATTTATATGTAACTATGTACTTTGGAGGGCTTTTTTGGGTTGTCAGCTCTATCGTATCTGGTATATTAGTAAACATACTAGAAGATAAGAGCAGCAGTTGATCATTATTTATTGTTGTTCACAATCAACATCGTGTATTTTATGGTGATCAGAAATTAAGGATGTCAAAAAGAAGAAGGAAAGGGCCAAAGAGCTTGAAGGCATTGACTTAAGTAACATTGTCTCAAGTTCTCGTAGAAGATCCACATCCAGTTATGCAGCACCACCTCCAAAACCAAAAATACCAGTTAAAACTGAAGGTGATGATGTTGATGATACTGATGATGAGGAGGAAGAGGAGGATGACGACGACGACGACGACGGTGAAGAGGAGGACGATGAAGAGGATAATGGTGATGTTGATGAAAGCCAAGGTGAAGAAGAATTCAATGAGGGTAACAAGCCATCAACTTTTAAAATAGACTTGCTGATTTTTGTATATCACGTTTTCTTAAAGTAGCTTTGAAAGTTTCTAAATCTGTTTTGGTGGTTGATTGATTCTGCTTCTGGTTTGGTCATATTATCCTGGGCTTGATGTGGTTTTTTCTTCTTACAGATGATAATGAAGACAGTGATTGAAACCCGAAGGAGCATTCAAGATTCTCGCATCTGGTCCTTGATCAGCGTAGCAACGAACCACAGAGTAAACTTATTTTCTACGTAGTTTCCCTTTGTCTTTAGTTATATTGGAGAGTTTGTAGTCAGCGATGTTAGAGCTATATCTAGGAGATTGGACGTAGTATTACTGTACAATATTTTTTACTCTTCATGATAAAGACGAAATAAAAGGAAACTTATATAATTTTGATTTATCCTTCGTTTCAAATTAGGAATTCAATGTTTCTTCCAGTGTTATGACTTCACATTAGTTGAAGATGCTACGCTGTCATGACTTTTTGGCATTATAGAAGACATTCCTTAGCTGTTTAAGGCTTATGTGCTCATTGAATAGCAATGTGGATCCCAATTCAATCTGCTATAACAGTAATAGGGACTTACCAAGTTGAAAGAGAAAATAGGCTAAATAATAAGGAACAATTCTCTTGTGAGATGTGATATTTTTCTGTGTTTACAGTGAACAATTTCTCTTGACAGCTGTTGCAAGAAGTGGTTTGTGAGCATTTTGAGAAAAGTGAGGAATCATCTCTGATCGTTGTTAACTCTTGTATTCTTCTCTCATGGAATCCCTTCTCCTTATTTTTAAAATCGTTCTTAGGTTGATTTATTTGCACTTTGAAGTGAAGTGTCAATGGTTTATTCCATAGTATTTAGAACTAGAACTTCGATGTGAAATTATTGCGTAATATATTGTCTATGTCTACAGTGTGCAGTTTCTTCCCTTGAAAGAGCTGATGTAAGAATAATTTGTGGGCCTTTTTCTTGGAATAAAAGTGGAATCATCCTTGAGGGTTGTAAACTCTTGGTATTCTTCTTCTCTCGCACTATTTTTAGTGAAATCTGCATCAGTAGTAGAGAACTGGACGTAACCCAACCGGGTACATCTCTTATCTTTATCTTTTATTATCCCTCAATTGCTTAAAGTTTTAGATTCCAATTTTTTATTCCGCATTATTGGAAACTAGATCCTAGTTAATATATTGCCTAGTTAGTTAATTTAGATTACTGTATTATGATATGAAATGAACTTTAGGGAAAGTTTTTGGAACGGATTACCTTGATGATCAAGATCAAGAGTAAAAAAAACTTGTTTCTAAACTCGTGATTTGAATTACTTTACAAGAGGTTTGATCAATATCACCTAAATGATTCTAGTATGCAAGTTCTAAACACAACAATTTGCAAAGTAAAAGTTTAGCTCTCAACAAAACTTCATTAGAAACTCTGTTCTTTTTTATTCCAAAATGTGATGTCCACGGAAAGAAAATAAGACTTTATATAGCCTTTGATAACCTTAACTTAGGTGAGTTGTGAGTTAAATGCACTCATAACCTCCCTATTAAAATGACTATTTAACGATGAAATAGCTAAATGATAAACAAATATCAAAATTATAAATAAAATAATGCAATAAAAGAATGTACTAATGACCTTCTTATACTAGTTCTATAAATTCAACTACGAGTTCATTAAATGTAAATTAAAGTGCATTCAATGCATTTTTATCTTGAAGTTTAACTTTGCACAACATATAATAAATGTCTCCAACTTTTTTTAGGATTTCTTGGTCGTGCTTCATATCATTTCTATTATTATCTCTTCCTTCCTCCTACTCTTTGCCTAGAGATTCTCGTTGAAGAAAGAGATGAGATTGCTTTTCTTTTGGGAGCCCATCAAATAATAGAGTGAGAATATTTTTTAAACAAAGTAGTTTCTTAGTTTACAAAAATTGATTGAAGAAGACTTCTTTCAACTTTTCCAAAGTCTTTCATTTCATTAAGTTGTTGAAGATACAAACTTACCAAAGAAGACTTGGAAAAGATGCATTTTATTGTCCTCATCTTCCTGCATAGTCTTTTGATACACTCATCCTCTTACGTCCTTTTATACTCTCTTTACATTTTTTATTTTATAAAGATTTGTATTTTCAAATTTACCCGAACAATATAGAACGTGGAAAACTATTTTTCTGGTGACATAATATTTTTTTAGTTTGTTTGGAATAACTTTTTAAAATAATATTCTTCTCTTCTTATAAGAAAATCAATTTTTCTATATGTTTTAAATAATTAATAATTTAAAAAAGTTTAAAAGAAATTCGAAAAGTTACCTATACGTATTTTAGTAGTAAATTAAATCAAAATGTGTTTTCAAGATTAGTTAATATAAGTCATCAAATTTAAGATCCAAAATTATAACTTATGATAATAAAATTACTATGATACTTTTGTATTGAATAAAAAAGATAATTCACCTATAAGAAAAGCCACAATTAATCTCTACAAACAATTTTCCAAATTCCACAAGGTCTCTGCCACATCATCCTCCAACACCCAATCAGATGCATCCATTTGGCCATCAAACTCTGCAACTCCACAAGCAGCACCCAACAAAGAGAATGGGTGTTGTTGCTGGTCCACCTGAAGCTCACCATTATCCAGTGGCTGCAGATCAGAATTATTCCCAAACTCTTCTGAAACACTTTCAGAGGACTCTGGCCATTGATAATAAGCTCCAGAGCTCTGAATTGAGCTCTGGTTGGCTTCAATGGCGGATGAACCAGATGGGTTTTGCTGGAGAGCTTGTGAGAAGCTCTCCGAAGATGGAGAATTGTAGTTAAACGAAGTTGATGATGATCTTTGGTCCATTTCTTGAAGCAACCTCGGAATCCACAAATGACGAACTGTCTCCAAGAATTTTTTACTGTTTGATTGGATGTTGAGCTGTTTTGCTTGTTTTTGTACCCGCGTCCTCCAGTAATTTTTTATCTCATTATCTGTTCTTCCCGGTAATTGTTGTGCAATCTTTGACCATCTACGAGTCAACAACAAATACACACACAAACAAACAACTTTCAAGTTCTTTGATTCTTCCATCAAAACAAGTAGAAAATAAAATGAACTTTTTGAATCGAAACGGTTTCCTACCGGTTGCCCCATTTGGAATGGAGTTGGAAGATGAGGAGCTGTTCTTGAGGAGTGAGATTCCCACGTTTGATGTCAGGTTTTAAGTAATTCAGCCATCTCAACCTGCAACTTTTTCCGGTTCTCTCGAGGCCTAGAAGAGGAGGAGGAAGAGGAGGAAGAAGATGAAAGAAAGTTTGAATAAGAGGGGGTGGAGGAAATAGAAGTAGGGTAAACTTTTGTTTTTGCAAAAAGGACCTGCATGTTTGGCTAAATTGTTCCAATGCCCTTCACCATGAGAAGCAATATAGTGAATGAGGAGAGTGTCTTCTTCAATGGTCCATGGGCCTCTTCGCAGCTCACTTCTTCCAACACCTTCCATGGAGACACCAAAAACACAGAGAAAGAAAGGATTTTTATGTGCTGATTTGAATGGGAGAGAGAGAGACTTTATAGAGAATTGGAAGAGAGAGGTGGGAGAATTCATCACATTTTCCTTCCTTTTTGTGCTTAAATTTGGTGGAATTATCTTATCAAATTTACCCAATTCATTTTAATAATACCCTCTACTAATTTAATTTAATTATTATTATTAAAATAAAATAAAATAAAAAAGACTTCAAGACTTCTCTTTTGGTCCCCTTTGTCTTTAATGGCTACGAGAGAATTTTAAAATTTAGTCACTTTTTTTTTTTTTAATTTTTAAATTTTAACTTTGAGTTTTTATTTATTTTAACTCTTAGGTTCATGCATGTTGTAATGCAAATTGATTATAAGTTATAATAAATTAATAAAAAAAGAATAATGTTGACTCAGTTGTATTTTTTTAAATATAAAATATTTTTATTTACCATTTTATTTGTTTTAGTATTAAAAAAAATATTTTTAATATTTGACTAAGAATTCAAATATATAAGAAATTTGGAAACGATAGGAAGAAAATCGAGAGGAAACATACATGATTATTTTTTAAATTGTTATCAAATGACTCGGTAATTTTGCATGATGATTATTTTTTAGGGTTAAAATTATTGATTTAGTCCGTGAACTTTCGTGTTTGTACCTAATAGGTCAATGATCTTTAAAGTGTTATAAAATGACTCGGTAATTGTGTTTAGTACGTTCTCCGGTGTATTCAACATTTAAAATATATATATATATATATTAGTGAATTAGTTAGATAAAAAAAATTAAAATCAACCTTTGTTGGGTCGTTTAATATTTTTAATCCCTAATAACTAAACTAGATGATAATCAATGTTTATATTCACTAAAATATATTTGGAGTAGCTTAACGAGTCTTTAATTAATGAGTCAGTATTTAGTTAGATTTCAACTTTGTAAGTAAAATATTGTAAGAATTATGTCGTGGATAATCAAACCATTAAACTGTAGGATGATAGTCTATGAGATCCTATATCGGTTGGTGCAAGACTATAGAAACCTATTTGTAATAGACATCATTTTAAAACTTTGAGGGGAAAGATCTCTAACGGAAACTCCAAAGAGGACATGTCTGCTATTTGTAGATTTAGGTTGTTACATAATCGATGTCTTTACTCACTGAAGTATGTTCAGAGTAGCTCAACGGGAGTTTATTAATGAGTTAATATTTACCTATAGTTTAATTTTAAAATTTATCACCGTCGGTATTGGTTATGACAATATGGCAAATTTTGAAGAAAAAACTCATGGTTTAAGTTTGCTTTTCGAAAAGTGTTTTTTAGTATAAGCAGTACTTTCGACCAACTCGAGACGCCATATTTCGAAAAAAAAAAAAGAAAGAAAGAAAGAAATGGTGGGGTACTGGAGGAGGAAGAAAAAGATCGTATAATTATAAATAGAGAAGGGAAAGCGCTATTTGATTGATAGACATAAAGTTAGGGGAATGAGAACCAAATTATGAATATGAATATATCCCTCTTTTTTTTCAAATTTTCATGATTGGTGAAACAACTAACCGTGTACATTCAACCCAACAATCCGACAACTTGAATTATAAGAGTTGGGTTGGGTTGGATTGGATTAGTTTTTCGAGTTGATTTGGTTCATTTTTCTGAACTCGAACTGACTCGGTTCGGTTTTGAATTCATGGGACAAAACTTCCAGATTGACCCGAGTCAAGTAAAAGTATATAAAATATACTGAGAAGTTTATATTAATGATGAATTTACTAGAGTGGTACTTTGTCTTAAATTCAAACAACGATGCCAATCAAATACATTAATTTTTTTGTGGGTTAAAAAGTTATACACCCGAACTATCGAATTGAATCCAAAACTGTCAGAATCTAACCCACGAACACACTAAAACAAAATCCGTTATAAAATTTCGAGTCTCAAATCTCAATATATATTGAAACATGTAAGCTTATCCAATTGATCAATAAGGTGGTGCAATAATTGGAAGTGAGATTATGTGAACCACAAGAAACTTTGTTTACAAATGTTGGAAGCAAGCATGCTTTTAGGTGGGGGACTCTTTCACACAAACATCAACATTGATCGTCCTTTTTCTTTTCTCGAGATAAAAAGAGAACTTAAAATTTTTCATAATTTCTATAGTACAACAAAACGAAGGTTAAAGCGACTTACAGATTGTTGTGTAAATGTATATCGATTAAGAACTTTTAAAAATTTATAAAAACCAAACATGAGATCCCACGTTAGGTTGGAGAGGAAAACGAAATTTACATCTTAATTTCCGATAAACATGAACAGTGAAATTAAAAATAAAAAGAAATAATTCTCATTCCCGACAAGTAAAAACGTAAGACCTACGATGGTAGGAATAATAAACATACGTCACGAAGTGAAATAGGAATTGAATTCTCCATTTAATTTGGAAGATTCAAAAAAATTGTGGAATTTTTGGATATTAATGTGTCACATCCAAGAATTGTGCGTCACAATAAAGCTTGGATTTTTCAATTCCACAAGCCATCCATTATCTGAATTGACCATGATCATAAAATGCACCAACAAAAACAAAAACAAAAAAAAAAAAAAAAAGTGACATCTTTTCAGCTGTGAACCACTTTGCTTTCCTTCCAACATAGTTTCGATTTTAGTTTCTTAAATCTTAGTGTCCTGACTCCGAATCGAATTATTTGGGCTTCAGAAGTGAAAGAAATGATTTTAGTTACGAATAGTGGACAAATTGGTGTATTACCAAATCACGCACCTATTGCCACAGGTGTAGATATAGGTATTTTGAGAATACGCCTTACGGATAATGACGGATGTTTAACGATGGCTCTGATGGGTGGTTTTGCTAGAATAGGCAATAATGAGGTCACTATTTTAGTAAATGATGCGGAGAAGGCTAGTGATATTGATCCACAAGAAGCTCAGCAAACTCTTGAAATAGCGGAAGCTAACTTGAGGAAAGCTCAGGGTAAGAGACAAACAATCGAGGCAAATTTAGCTCTCAGACGAGCTAGGACACGAGTAGAGGCTGTCAATCTAGTTGATCCGTCTAAATAATCAAGTGAAATGAAATTTTCATGTAAAAAAGAATTACAATTAAAAAATGAAATAAATATAGATAAATATAGAGTGGAATGGAAAAGATAGAAAATCAATAGAACTGAGTAGAAAAACTTATTAGATGTCTTTCGAGAGCTATTTTTAGGGTTCGGGAGTAAAAATTTGAACATCAAATCTTTTGCTTGATCCATCTTCTTTAGACATTTTCCCTATTAGGATCGATACCAAAATCAATGTTTTACAATCATATTGAATTCATTTATATGACCAACACCTTTACACATTTGTAGATTAAACAGCCTCTGCATCAAATAAACTTTGTTCATAGCCGACGATTTCTCATACCTATTTGACAGCGCCTTCAACAAATTTGACACTGTCTTCTCCTTGATAATATTGAACACCACGTTTCTAGATAGTGTCAATCGGATCAACTCTAAGGCCTGACGATCCTTGAGCTTCCACTGCTTTGTGGTCATAGTATCTGGCTTCACCCCAACAGGGGTTCCTGAAGATCTTTTTGGTACAGATAATCTTCAATCTGCATCTTCTAGAAACTAAAATCAGATCCATCAAACTTTTCAATTCCAATCTTTGAAATTTCCATCTTCACAAATCATGGTGAATTTTGCCTTGCTCTCATACCAGTTATTAGCTCTGATACCAGTTGTTAGGATCGCTCAACAACGCATACAGTCGATCAAGATGAACACAAAGAACAGGAGAGAGAAAATAAAATGAGGAATATTGGCTAAAGGCATCAGGCTAGTGGAGGTGGAGGTGGAGGAGGAGGAGGAAACACTCGATCGACGTTTCTTTCTATCATCTTCTTCCTCGTTCCTCCGTCTCGTGGAGGAGGAGGAGCTTCTTCCCTAATTTCGTTTAAAAAATATTTTAATTGTGAGAAGAAGATGAAAATGGCAGCCACATATGTTGTGCTAGGCCCAAATCGAGTACAGTAATCAGCACTAGCTACAACTCAGAGCTTCAAACCAGCCTCATGGGCTTTGTACTCTAGCAAACCTCACCGTTGACGATTCACATTATTCAACTATCTCAAATGGTAGATATGATCTCAGTTTATTCATGGATCTCTTCTATACTCATGTGTCACAATTCATATTATTCGAATCTCACTTTGATATCATTTGTAACATTTTATGTCAAGAATTCATATCAAAATTCTAAGTTATGATCTCAATCTTAGACTTGGGTATTACACTTATGTTCATATCACTGCCAAAATATCATCATCACACCATGAAAAAGTTAATTATAGATGAATTTTAGGGTAAAAAATAAAAAATAAATAACAAACAAAGAGACAAGGTTTTATATGTTTCTACCAACATCTAGAGACAAGTCACATTGTTTTAACTTGGAGCCCAAATTCATGATGGGATTGATTCAATCTACTTTCATGAATCAAATTTCCTTGCAATTTCATAAACCCCAACCGTGCTACTTTCCCTCTATCTTCTCATATTTTTTCTAAAACTTAATGCTCCTCACGGCATCTGCGACACCTAAGTAAATGAGAAATACATGAATGAATCGAAATTACATCCGAATAAGAGCGATCATGAGAATAGAACTACTAGAAAAGACTTAAAAGAATTGAACGTTACTATTATACTGACAAAATGTATTTTTCTTTTTGGTGGCTCAATCAAATTAACCGTGCTTTATTTGGAACAATTTTTTATTAGATGACCTCTGTAACATTTTCTTAGAAAACATGCTAGAAGTTGGATCTGTCGTGTTGGTCCATTTAGATCTGGTCACCAGCGTGAAACCAGCATCCCTACCATAGCTATCTGCTGTCATTGAAGTAGGGGAGTATTGACAGAAGGCTTATAAAATCAATTATCCATTAGGGTTTAATTTACTTTTTTCTTTGCCAAAAATATATATATATATATTTATTTATTTATTTATTTATTAAGTTTGTAATAATTATATAAACCCAAAAATGTAGGTCTCTATAAATAAAATTTGGTTGTAGAGAGCACACAAAGAAGCCATTTTGTTTATCCGACCAACATGGTGAAGAAGGAATTAGGTAAGGATCGTCATCAGCCAACAGCCTCAGCAAGTAAAAATAAATACAAGGGAGTGAGAATGAGAAGCTGGGGCTCATGGGTTTCTGAAATTAGAGCCCCAAATCAAAAGGCTAGAATATGGTTAGGTTCATATCCCACGGCGGAGGCCGCCGCCAGAGCCTACAACGCCGCCCTCTTGTGCCTCAAAGGCTCCGCCGCCACCCTCATGTCTCCAAACTCCATCAAAAGAGTCGCCGCGGAAGCCGCTGCCAATGCCAATGCCGCCTTCTTCGACGGATATGTTGAGAACAAGGTTGGATCGATCAATGTCCCGTTATCGCCACTGTCTTCTTCTTCTTCCTCCTCCTCCTCCGTCCCATCAACGTCGAATAACAACTCGATTATGATGACGGAGCCATTGTGGTTTAAGTTTGATGACATAGTCACCCCGATGTACATTGAGCAAATGATGAATGGAACTCTAGATCCACCCAATGTTGATGATTGTTATGAAGAAAGTGATATTCGTTTATGGAGCTTCTATTGAACCCCAAGAAATTAAATATAAAAAAAAAAAAAAATCGTTATTGCAATTTACTATTCTCCTATTTTGTGAGATCCTATATCGATTTTAAAGGATAACGAAACATTCTTTATAATAATATGAAAATCTCTCCTTAGTAGATTTGTTTTAAAATCATGAGACTGACGACAAAACGTAACGAAATAAAGCAGACAATATCAGCTAGTAATGAGTTTCAGTTGTTACATGTCTAGTAGACAAAGATTTACTTTCATAGAAAAGATATTCATTTGGATCAACACGAGAGTCCAAATAGTCCAAATATATTGCATTGTCTGAACCCACATTGTATATTTGAAAGAGGTCGACCTCTATGCTTTTCTCATGTTACAATCCTCTTCCTACTGAGCCCACTTTCTCTTTAACTCACATCGACAAAATATTTATTTAATTTTCAAAACTTTTAAAACGGTCTAATAAAATTTTAATTTTTTTATTTTATGGTATCAATTTAATTTCTTTAAAAATAATTATAAAGAAGGTTGAAGAAACAAACATTTTAAACAGATATCTATGGAACGAAAAATAGGGTTTGAACTATATATCAATTTTCATTTTCACGAAATTCTCTATTTATTTATATAGAAATTCGGGCACGAGAATTGGATTGACACGAGAATTTGTAGGATTTTTTTTTTTTTTTTTTAATTTGATTTTTAGAAAAAATCTAATGGATCCCACTCTTGCTTATTTGTTGTGTCCCCTATTACATTGAATCTACCCTATTCCTTATTCTCTCTCATTTTTGTATCAAAGTTCACTTCACAATCATCATAAATATTTTTTAATTCAAAACCCAAATAATTCATTTTTTTTAGAATTATTTTAGTCTTTTTTTAAATAAATATCTCCTCGATAATTAATAAACACACATTTTAGGTATAAATTATTATTTTATTTTTATTTGTTTAAAATGATGTGACAAATTTAATTTGTTTTATCTCATTTTATTATTATTTTTCTTCTTTTTCTGTAATTACGAAGAAAACAAATTGCGCGAAGGACCTAATAATTGAGTAAGCCCATATAACAAATGGGCCTAATCTGGATTGGGATGACGTGGCCCACTTTGACTCATATCGTACGTTCTGGGCCCATTTCTTAATGAGCCTTCTAGTTTGGGCTTTGCATTTTACAGGACCACCAATGCGATTGCAGTATGGGCTAACTAGCAAATAAAGACCGACCAAAAGTCGCTAATACGTGGAATTATTCGATTCGTTCAATACCAAATAAATTTAAATAAATATTAATTAACTTTTATTAGAGGTATAATCTATTTAAATAGATCAATATAATAAATTTTAATTAAATATAATATATATATTATATTACTAACTAAAATATAAATTAAAATGAAAGTTAAATATTTTTAATTTTTATAATAACCTTAAAAATAAAATTGTAGGACAAATTTATTTATTTTTTTCAAAAAAGAATTAACTTAATTACGTGGTGGATATTATTTAAATAAAATGGTCGAAATTAGTAAGTTTTTATTATTATTATTTTACATTTTTATGGGACCCCAATTTAATCATGCATTTCCCTATCAATGTCTTTAATCACAGGTAAGGACATAAACAAAAACAAACAAGAACAACGCCGCCTAAACAATGTTAATTAATGTCTTAAATAATTAATTAATCATCATTATTTTGCTTAATTCTCCCTAATCATTGACGTTTTCCTTCCCCTAATTAGTGTTAGGGTGGAGGTCCGAAATCCACACTGTGTATGATCCAAACTGTAAACTAACCCATGGCAATGGCCGTCGACAACGCTTTTAACGGCGTCGCCGTCTCCAATTACAGCACCTCCACCAACAACTCCGATGACGACTTTCACGACCTCTTTGACTCGATCATGTCCATCGACGCTCTGCCATATTCGCCGCAGGTAGTTGAGGTCGACGGCGGTACTAACTGCAACTCTCCGTCCAATCCAGCGGAGGATCGGGAGGAGGAGGAGGAGGAGTTTAAAAGCTTAAGGCTTTATCACCTCCTCATGGCGGTCGCCGACGCCATGTTCGGCGACAACAAGAGCCGTGAATTGGCTCAGGTGATATTGATTCGACTCAATGAATTGGTTTCAACATCCCACGGGACTAACCTCGAACGCCTCACTGCGTATTATGCCCAAGCCTTCCAGGATTTGCTCGATTGCGCGGCCGTGTCCGGCGGCGTTCCGAATAAACCCCACCATCTCCACCGTGATGATCATAGTCCGACGGACGTTCTGGCGGCGTTTCAATTGCTTCAGGATATGTCCCCTTATGTGAAATTCGGGCATTTCACTGCAAATCAGGCGATTTTGGAAGCGGTGGCGGATGACAGAAGAGTCCACATAGTGGATTACAATATAATGGAAGGGATTCAATGGGCGTCGTTGATGCAGGCTTTTGTGTCGAGGAAGGATAGCCCGCCGGCCCCACATCTGAGAATCACCGTTATTTCCAGAGGACCCAGCAGCCGGAGATGGATTGGGACGGTTCAGGAAACCGGGCGGCGATTGGTGGCGTTTGCAGCTTCAATTGGTCAACCCTTTTCATTTCATCAATGTAAATTGGACTCCGACGAGAGTTTTCGTCCGTCTGGATTGAAATTAGTGAGAGGTGAAGCGCTGGTGGTGAATTGCGTGCTTCATCTCCCTCATTTCAGTAACAGTTCGCCGGAATCAATCGCCTCTTTTCTCGCCGGCGCCAAGACCTTAAATCCAAGACTGGTTACTTTAGTCGAAGAGGAAATCGAACATGGACCCACCATCGACGGCGATTACAAGGTCCAATTCCTCGATTCATTAGAGCGTTACTCGGCGATTTATGACTCACTGGAAGCAGGAATTCCGATGAAAAACAGAGCAAGAGGATTGGTGGAAAAAGTATTCCTCGGCCCGAGAATCTCGGCTACTCTGAGGCGAATCGGACAGCCGCAGAGGGCGGCGACGGCTGCGGAGGAGAATTGTTTGTGGGGAGAGAGATTGGAGAAGATGGGATTGAAGGCGGCGGCGATTAGCTTTGCGAATCACTGCCAAGCGAGGCTGTTGGTGGATTTGTTCAATGATGGGTACAGAGTTGAGGAATTGGGCAGCAATAAACTTGTTTTGGGATGGAAATCCAAGCGTTTGCTTTCGGTTTCCATTTGGGCTTCTTCTTCTTCATCTTCTTCATCTTCTTCCTCCGATTCCGAGTAGACACGCTTCCGTTCACGGCGGCGGTTCTTGTTTCCCGCCGGTTGGATTGTATAAGAGTATTTTTAATTTTTAAAAAAATTGCAAACAAGAAGAACACCACCATCTAATTCGTTAATGAATTTATAACATAATTGTGTTTTTAAATAATTTATAATTGGTTTAAATTTATGTGGAAGCTTATAAAATTAAAAATTTAAACAGAGGTTCACACAAATTGAGTTGAAAAATCTATAACCTGAAATTTAGTTTATTGAGTGTGATTGGAACAATAAAAAAAATTCATAATTCTATCCAACCCATTAATCAAAAAAAAAAAAATCATAATTATGTTCCTAAAAAGAGCAAAACTAAATAGAAAATATTTCTACCACGACCTACAAACACGGACACAGCCACTTAGACTTGTTCATGAAATTTGAAAAAAAAAAAAAAAAACCTTAATTTTCCCTGTCTCGGGGTCCCACGACCCGCCAATCAGAGCCATTCAAAATGTGGTCCCACAAGTCAGATTAGATACGAACGGTGATTGGGGGACGTAAAAAATTGTGAAGAATTTGGGCGGACGGTCAAACGTGGTACTTGCTGCATGGGATAATTTCCTCTTTTGAACTGAGTTTTTATTTTGTTAAGACTGTGGTAGCACGTGCCACACCTGTCACAGTAAAGTGAAAAAGAAGACCGAATCTTGATCCGACGACCATATCTTCCCGGCAACATAGCTCTCCATCCAACGGTCAATATTCTTTTAAAATTCCGCTCCGTTAGATTCCCATCAGACGGTTCTAATTAAATCTCACTCCCTCCCTCTCATTCCTACAATAAAATCCATCTAAACCCGCCCCCAATCCTTCTCTCTCTAGAAACACGTTCTTTTTCTCTCTCCTGAATTACGATAAACCTTCTCCGAGTTTTTTTGCTAACTTGCGCCATTCTTCTAATTCTCTGCGTATCGTGCGCCTTCGCCGGAGAGTTTATTGACGGCGGCCTCTGAATATGCCTTTCTTATTAGAAGAATTTCGAGATACAGAGCTTACCGAACGGGAAAAGGTGGAAAGATCCGCTTAACACTGGGAAGTGAAATTTTCGGGAGATTCCTATTGTTTTTGGGTTTTTTGTTTTTCCGATGGACGGCCAGAAAAATCCGGCGAATCTTACGAGAACGCAATCTTCTCTCCTTCGCTCATCCCCCACCGTCCGATCGATTCAGAGCCTGTCTTCAGTTACCGAGGAGGATGAAATCGAATCTGAAAATGAAGACCGGAATCGGAAAAACAAGATGCTTCGCCGGAGCCGATCGTTGGGGAGGAATTCGACGGCGTCTTTTGCTTGTTTCAGTCTCTTCTCCATTTCTTGGTTCTGTTTCTTCGTCTATGCGCGGAAGGAACAGAAAGAGATAGCGACGTCGGAGAATCTTCTACTGGCGTTGGTTTTCGTTGCGATTTTACTGTTCTTCGCCAACAAAAACAAGGCTTTAATCCATCGGACGGTTTCGATTTTGAAACAGTTTCGGGACGAAAATGGTCGACGGTTTGGGTTTTCGAGTACCAATGCGAAGCCGGTGAAGTGGTTTATTGGTACTCCGAATTCCAATTTGGAAGCCAAGAAGAAGCGGCAAATTATCAGAGAAGGGGTCGAGTTTTACAGCAATGGGGATTTCTACGAGGGCGAGTTTCATAAAGGGAAGTGCAATGGAAGTGGGGTTTATAATTACTTCGCCAATGGAAGATATGAAGGCGATTGGATCGACGGCCGATACGATGGGTATGGAATTGAGAGCTGGGCGAGAGGGAGCCGATACAGGGGGCAGTACCGGCAGGGCTTGCGGCATGGATTTGGGGTTTATAGGTTCTACACAGGCGATTCTTATGCAGGGGAATGGTACAAGGGACAGAGCCATGGGGTTGGGATTCAAACCTGCTCTGATGGTAGCTGCTATGTGGGGGAGTTCAAGTATGGCGCCAAGCATGGCCTTGGCTGTTACCATTTTAGGTGAATCTTTGTGCTGTCTTGTGTATCATATGATCTGTGGTGGCTGTTCAATTCAATGTTTATGAGATATGTATGCGTTTGTATGCAGGAATGGAGATAGATATGCAGGGGAGTATTTTGGGGACAAAATCCATGGATTTGGTGTGTATCACTTTGGCAATGGGCATTGTTACGAAGGGTCGTGGCACGAAGGTCGGAAGCAAGGCTTTGGTATGTATACATTCCGAAACGTCGAGAATCGATGCGGGGAATGGGATGGTGGCTGTCTCAAGCGCCCTCTTCCTCCTCTTACTGACTTAGTCCTTGGGGCAGTTCAGGTAAGAGTGAGTTTGTTCCGTCACCAATTCTTATACTGATTTAGTCTACTAACCTTGACGCCACATTAGGCTGCAAGGAAGACGGCGGAGAAGGCGATCGAGATCGGGCCGGTGGAGGAGGAGGTGAACAAGGCAGTGGTAGCAGCAAACAGAGCTGCCAATGGTGCTAGAGTTGCTGCTGTGAAAGCTGTTCAAAATAGAATGAAAGGGAGGTTTTGTGATATGAGCGCTTAAAAAGTGTAAAGTTTTGAGTGATTTTGAGCTGCGTTGTGGGAGGAAACAACCACCCTGGTGAGCTGAAAGCCCATCAGAGGTTGAGGGAAGCTTTTTCTGTTTAGTTTCTTCAACATGTACATACAACCTTGTATATCAATCTATGCAAGTTTCGTCTTTCTTTTGTCTGAGTTACAGCGGTTCGGGGATGTAGTTGTAGATGCACGAGTCTTAGTGGGTCGTTGGCTTCACATGTTATCTCCTTATAGGATATGTTGTTCTCGTAGTCATATTCCATATGTAACTTAGTCATCTCTGTCTCACTGTGGGTCAGTACGGAGGAGCTGTCTCCACTAGGCAAGCGACCACGAGTCGTAACATACTCTTTGCACAACAAATCTACTTTAAAGTTGACGGATTCACTCGGTAAATTATAGGGATGTCTATTTTGTAAACGGATATCGTTTACGGGTGATTAGAAGAGAAGACAAAAGCCATGATTACCAAGCTACTTGTCATTGGCCAAAAAGCCATTTAAGATTATAGAGTTTTATACGGCTTTACTACATAAGCAATCAGTCATGTCTTTCCATTTTCCCTTTTATATTTGAACCATAATCATCTTAGTGGACCAAATCACCGTTGAAATAATGGATCATCGCTCATAAATTCTTATGCATTTCGGTTGCAACGGTCATTTTGAAAGATTTATGAAACGTCAAACTAGTACTACAACATTTGAATGTATGGAAGACTTTTGATCCAATTATAGAAGAGATTATGATATTCAAAAAAGTGATCAATTTCAAACTATTCCTATTAAAAATACTTTTTTTTCCGTGTCATCGTGTAAAAGCATAAAACATTTTTATGAACTAAACTAAACAAAACAAGCCCGGTATTTATATAACCCAATAATCCCACTAAACTGGTCAATCAGACCAATCACAAAATAAAGTTATAACTCAATCCTAATTTGTTTTCAACCTTTTATAAATAATCCGAGTGATAAGTTATGACCGACAAATATTTGATGTTTGAATATAGTGTACAAGTATAATTTTTAAAAAAAGAACTAACTCTACAATCTAACTCAACCCAACAAAAAAAATAGAGAGTTAGGTTGTGAACTATTAGAATTATTCGGGTCACCAGCTCAACCAACGAAAGATTCAAATTGGTCGAAACAAACTTTTTAGCTTAATGAAACTCGACCTACGTACATCCGAGCATGGAACGAGAGAATACATAAAATAAAATGAAAGAAAGAAATAGGAGGGTGTTAAGGTTTGGAGAGTGCAAAAGAATGAAAGAAACTTCCCCGACCAATTCATGAACCCATAGGCCATGTCCATTGCCACGTCACTCCCGACATGAGTAACATGACTGTCCACGTGAGATCTCATCTCCAAATATCCTTTTTCTTTTCTTTTCATTTTCGTTCCCATCCGTTGAGTGTAATTAAATTCTAAATATTGACCTAACAAACCTCAACCGCACACTACGTTCCTTAAATTTGTGTCTCCATCCCACCGTTTTTTCGATTTACTTTTTATGCTAATTCTATTAATAATTTCCCTTTTTAATCCAATCCTAACAATCCAAATAGAATTCACAGCCTAATCATTTATTTTCGGGTTAGATTGGATTGCGTTATTATAACATTTTTTAATTATTTAAAAAAATCTTATTTATTCATAATACATGTAAAAATAGAGTTGAGTTAGTACTTTATTTTTGGGTTACTCGGGGTTAAAAAATAACAAAAAAAACATATACATTCAGTTAGAGAAATTTATTACATAACTTAAAATTTCGAGTTGGTTGAGTCCGAGAAAATTTAAAATCTCTTATAAATAAAAGCATCACAACATTCCACTAATATTAGTTACAGTCCACACATATTCTTAATCTCAATTAAAATCTTAAAAATAGAGTTGGATTATCGTTCATAAAAATAAATTTATTAACCAGCAAACCAACAAAAAAAAAAAAAAAAAAAAAAAA